GGCCTTCGCGCCCTGCCCGCGGAGCGTCGTGCGGCCTGCGGGCCCGCGCCCCGCGCTCCAGCTGCGGTCCTCGGCTCGCCGACCGGGCCTCCTCCCGCTCCCCGCCCGCCGAACCCGCACAAAGGAAAGGGATCCTCCGCCGGCCGGGTTGGTTTCGCGAGTAAAAAACGGGGTGGGGAATGTGCTCATTGTTGTGCCTGTCTGCGTGTTAAGATGGGTTTTGGGATGAGCTGCACGTTTACATTTGGTTGTGCAGTTTGAGAGCTGGAGTCTTGCCCTCATCTTCCAACCTTTTACCAAAAATAAATAAACGGGGCCTTTCTGTCATATTCTAAATAATAGTACGAGGATTAACGAGAGATGAGGATGGCTCATTTATTGATGACTTCCTGTTTCTCTTTTAGTGTATTTGATCAACATCTTTTACATACCAGTCGTTGGATAGGTTTTTGTTTCATTTTAGACGATAGCGACGTTCTTTGGACATTAGGGATTTGTGAATAAAAAAGTCTGGAGGTAATGGAGAATTTGACCAGTTATACTGCTTACTCTTCTCAGGAGTACAAATTTTGCGTTGAGTGGTGGTGCAGAACAATAGATTGTTGTAGTTTGTTGTTGAGCACATCCTGGAATATTTTCAGTAATTCTTGATCTGTGACAGTCTGTAACAATGTAAACAGTTTAAGGGAGGGAGCAGCCTGCAGTAACTGAAATGTACCTTTCCGTTTCCCTAAGGGTTTATCTAGTTCCAGAGGCGGTGTTTGGGGGGGGAAGTGTGTCATCATTTGAGAGAAATTTATCATGAACTCAAGCTTCACTTTTTGTCTCCTAATACTTACTTGACGCTAGCCCACCAGGTTCCCTATTACATTACCTAAGTTCTCCTTAGCACTTTTCATGTTTTCCAACATGAAGGTAGAAAATTCCAACAGAAAACTTTAAAGAATTGTCAGTGGAACCCCTGTGTGCCCATCTACAAGTAACATTTTCCACCATTCTAAGTCCATCTTATTATTATTTTTGGTTGTACTTCAAAGTTACAGATATCAGTATGTGTCAGTCTTAAAAGGCATTTCAGCACTATGCTGTCTGTTAAACTTTTTTTTTTTTTTTTGTAAGTTTGATATGCAGGGCAGGCCACCTGGTTGTGGTTCTTAAGTTTTCCCAAATATTCACACCTGGGTCACCCAAGTCCCTGGGATGTAGGATATTACAATTGATTAGAAATTTTTTTTCTTGTCAGCTAATTTCTCTGTCCTCTTGTGTTGATTTTGTTTTCTTCTACCAGATTTTGATTTCTTCTGCCTGTTGTAGAACTTACATAGCAGGATCATGTGTTTTATATACTCCTGGTTAAGGCTTTTTTTACTCAGCATAGTATTTTTTAGATTTATCCTTGTGTGTAGTAGTACTGCTTATTTCTGTATGAACATACCATAATTTACTCGATGTTGAAGTTCACCTTTTTGCATCTAGTTACTATGAACCATCTTGTGCAAGTCCTATGGGAAACACAAGACTCTGGTTGAATAAGAAGTGGAGGGACTAGGTGATAGGGCCACTCTGTTTAGCTTTACTAACAGAGATTGTACTGTTTTAAATCAAGGATGCCCACATCTTTGCTAATATTTGGTATTATCAGTCTTTAATTTTAGCTGTTTTTATGGTGTATAGCTATATTAAGTTGTGAAGAGTGTGTTCTGAAGGATTCACAGGTTAGACCTCTAACCATCCTGACTGCTTTCAGCTTTTTACAGCAAAAGCTTAAAAATGAAAATATCTGGGTGTAGTGGCTCATGCCTGTAATCCCAGCACTTGGGAGGCTGAGGCAAAAGGATCACTGCAAGTTTGAGGCCAGCCTGGGCTACAAAGTGAGACCCTGTCTGTCTCTGTCCCTTTTTTTTTTTTTTTTTTTTTTTGACGGAACTGGGGATTGAACTCAGGCCCTTGTACTTACTAGGCAAGCACTTAGTCCACTGCGCCATCTCTGTGGCCCCCTCTCAGTCTCTTTGTCTCACACACGGCATTTCCTATATAAGGAAAAATATTTGTCTAGGTGAGTAGCTGTGAGGAAGGTTTTTAGTTTTTATGATGGTGAACTTGAAATTCTAAATCTGTGGCACTTTATATTTTACACCATTATAACCAAAGTGAATTTTTAATAGATAAAATTAAAGCTATTGTTAATGGTAAGAAAAGAAACAGGCGCTGTAGAACATGTTTGGGCCAAATAAAAATAGAAAAAAAGCTACACTGGACAGTGAGGGCATACTGTCATGCAGAAGAGAACACAGTGACCTAAACTTTTTTGAGGAAACAATTTCTGATGGCAGTTTTTAAGCTTTGGTTGTTTTCTTTTGAAGCAAAAAGTATAAAAATTGAAGCTCAACACTGTACCATGACCCTGGAGAGAAGTTAAAACTATGTATGGGTTTTGTTAAAGATAGCTTATACAGGAGAGTGGGAGAATAAGGAAAAGCATTTTTAGATGGTTTGTAAAATTTTGCTTGGCACACAAGAAAAGACATTTTTTTAAAAAAAATATATTTAGGACAGGGTCCACAGGGTCTTACTACACAGGGACTGGTAGTGATCCTCCTGTTTTTAACCTCCCAAGTGATGGGATTACAGGCATGCACTACCATGTCCAGTCTCAGTTGCTGTCTCAGTGAGCCCCTGGGGCGGGTCCAGCATGGCAAGCAGGGATCAAATCCAGATCCCTGTGTCTGCCTAAGCAGGCACTTTAATCTGCTAAACTATCTGGTCAGCCTAAACCTTCCATTTTTAATTTAAATTTTTTCTTTATACGCTTACTATATTAAAATTTACTTTTTTAAGAAATGTATTTGGTACAGAGTCACTGCGCAGCTTGGATGAATAGTGATCCTTCCTCCCTTCTCAACCTCCCCAGTGTTGGGATTACAAGTGTGCCCCACCACGTGCAGTCTCACTGGCTAGTTCAGCATGCCTGGGGGTGGGGGTGGGCACTGGCATGTGGTGCTGGGGATTGAACCTAGTCCCTGTGCTTGCCTAAGCTACATATAACATTACTGCAAATTAACATTTGTCATTGAGGGAACTCACTGTAGCTCAGTGGTAGAGCACTTGGCCTAGCTTATGTGAGACCTTATGTTCCATATAAGCAGCACACAAAAGAAAAAATAGCTTTTTGAAAAAATATTTAAAAAAAGATCCATACATCACACCAAATAAAAACTTAAGTTATGCAAAAAAAAGAAAAAATATTTAATGACATTAATATTTCCCTTGAAATCTTAAGTAAATAATTGGAAATAGGGGCCAGAGAGATAGCTCAATAGAATAAGCGCTTACCTGGCAAGTGCAAGGGCCTGAGTTCAGTCCTCAGTTCTGCAATTAAAAAAAAAAAAATCTTTTACCTATAAATCAATATTTTTCTGTATTTTATTTTGTCTTACTTTTTAAAAATGTATTTGATTGTTACAGGGTCTCACTACATAGCTTGGACTCATGACCCTTTTGCATTCAGCCTCCCCAACGCTGGGATTACAGGATTGTGCTGTCATGCCTGGACTCTGGCCAGCCCTGGGGGCGGGGCTGGCATGGCAGTAGTGGCCGGTTGCTTAAGCAGGCACTTTAGTCTGCTTAGCTATGTTGATCGCCCCTAAGAGACATTTTTATTTATATTTATTTATTTATTTTTGCGGTACTTGGGATTGAACTCAGGACTCTGCACTTGCCAGGCAAGCACTTATTCTACTGAGCTATCTCCCCGGGCCCTTAGGAGAAATTTTTTTTTAAAATTTATTTATTTATTTATTTATTTATTTATTTGTGTGTGTGTGTGTGTGTGTGTGTGTGTGGCCAGCTCAGCCCACCAGGGGGCGGGACTGGCTGGCTGGCATGTGCTGGGGGATTGAACCGCGGTCCCGGTGCTTTGTTAAGCTTGTTCTAAGTAGGTGCTTTAGACCACTGAGCCATCTCACCAGCCCCAGGAGAAATTTTTAAAATGAGCAGATTTTAAAAAATGTAATGGCACAAAGTCACTGTATACAAGATTGTTTCCTTTCATTTATTTGTTATCAGCTATTGAAAATAGCTTTGGGTTAACGGGAAAGGTAAAGAATAGATTCCTGTGTGGGAGCTATTAAAGTTAGTACAGAGAAATGGAAAGGGGCTATATTCCATATAACCTTTAACTCATTTTGTAGACCTTTTAGTATGCATTTGTGAAGTGAAATGCTCAGGCAGTGTTGCAGGCAGTTGTTTCTTTTGACTGTTAAGAGCATTGTCTATGAACATTCATGGTTAAGTTTTTGTGCAGATAAATGTCAATTTCTTATGGATATACACCTGGCAGTGAAATTGCAGTGTCAGATAGTAGCTCTGTTCAATTTTTTTGAGTAACCACCAGATTATTTTCTAAAGTATTTCCCCATTTTACATTACCACCAATTAATGAGGATTCCAGTTACCACATTTTTAGTAACATTTGTTAATGTCTTTCCTATTATAGTCATCACTACCCACACACACTGTGCTTTACCTTATTCTCTTTGCTTGGAGTATCCTGGCAGTCTTTCTGCACAAAACTCGGAGAAGGTGACTGAGTGTGTTTG